TAATGAGAGAAATTTTACTAATTAACCCATGGCTGGGGAAGAGTAGGAGGATTCATACTTTTCTCAACATTTTTGAACAAAAGTAGATGGCAGACTTTTGCAAGCATTCTTCAAGCACTGTAAAAGCTCACTCTCACTCATTGAGTATTCTCTTCAGACTCTCCTAATTCATCCCATGCTAATTTAATTAGAGAGAGGTTCAGAAGACTGAGGAAGTCAAGTTATAATTTCTTAAATTTTGTTCCTTTTTTTTTAACTCATGGTAATTTTTTTTAACTCATGGTAATTTTTTTTAACTCATGGTAATTTTGACTTAATTTTAAAGTGTGTTTTGGATTGTTCTCTTGTTGAAAGGTAAATTTCTTTTGGGAGATAATGGTTTAGTAATACAAGTCTTAATAGTTAACCTATAGCTGGTGGGCAAAGAGGTGGATTCCTTTCCCAACAGTATCTGCACATTATATTCACATAAGTGAATATAATGAACTCAAGAGGAATTGGAACTCAGTTTACATTTAAAAAATTCGAAGCCATTGTTCATTATACCATCTGCATATCCCAAGCCATCATCCAGCTAGGTACTGATTAGGCTTGATATTACTTAACTTCTGTAATCATACGGAACCAATGTTGTAACATGATATGGCAGTAAGTCTTAATTTAATTTAATGTTGTTTCTAAGTAAACCTGAAATGTGAAGTAAAATACCATGTTTTACATTTCATCATCATTCTGATATTAGCCTAGAATGTGATCTATAAACTTTTGTTCATTGTTGATTATCATATTAATATTTTGTTGGCTCAGCTTTGGAGTTTATTGTCAACTCACCAATGAAAGCCATAAAAATTATGATTATAGATTTATTCCTTCAAATATTTGCACTTTTCTAGCTAAATCACTGGGAACATTAACGGCTTAGTTCAGAAGTTCTCAAACGCTTGGCGTGTAACCCAAGGAAAAATATTGGCATAATCTCATGACCCCCATATTTTCCTGGCTAGATGAACAATAACTGCCAGGTACTGAATAAAACAAGTCTCTGAGTAGAGGTAGATAAACACACAAAGAAGCAGAATTAAAATGTCTACATGAGGTTTGATGAAAAGTGCTTGGCTCAACTTTCTTCCTAAAATATGAACTTCGCTAATAATGGGACATTTGATTGTGCCAAGAACTTTTCAGTAAAGTGTGTGTGACTCTCTCTCTCTCTCTCTCTCTCTCTCTCTCTCTCTCTCTCTATATATATATATATATATATATATATATATATATATATATATATATATATATATATATATATATATATAATTGTGTATTTGGGCAGGCAGCAATCCTTCTTTTATATAAGTTTCATTAACAACAACTGACCTGACAAGGTAATGTGGTTAATTTTTAATTTAATTTTTATGTGTTCTTAATTTTATTTAATTTTGATTAATTTAATTTTCTTCTTTTCTGGATGCAATATAACTACACTGCATTCATTGTGTAGTCTTTATCTAAAATCTCTACATATGTATCAATATATATATATATATATATATATATATATATATATATATATATGAATACTAAAAACAACTGACAAACTACTGCAGTTAAATTTTTTATTTAAATTTTTACGTGCTTTTCTGGACATAAATAATATAGAAATTGTCTGAATGCTCTGTATGTCTGTGTACTTTCTGCTATACTTTTCGCCATTATCAAAGATGATTTTATTTTTACATTTAACTGAATGTATGGGTTGGTTTATGTATGTATCTAGAGTTATAGGAAATTTTTATTTTCCAAATATGGTCAGCACATTGTGGCCGTGTTCATAGTTAATATTTTTGAGATGTGGATGGGGCGATTATATTTGTATTATCAACAATTATGTTGGGGATAGAGTTTGGTATGTCTGCATGTGTATTTAAATGAGACATAATTTTTAATGAAAATTGTGTGTGCATGTATATATATATATATATATATATATATATATATATATAATTTTTATTGGAAGAGATTATAATAAAAACATGTTGAAATTGCTACACAAAAGCTTTCATGCTTAAATACTATGACTGTACTTCTTCAGGTGATGGTAAGTAACTGGTGATTAAATGATTTTTAAGAAAATTTAAAAACATGGTCTTACCTATTTTCCAAAAGTTAAAGGGGTCGTGGTGGGAAAACATAAGGTCAGAATTAAAAACAGACTTGTGGGTATGTCTTGATTAACCAATTAAATGTCAGATCTGTGCTAAATAGAAAAGTAATTTAAATCGTGGAGGTGGGTGAGTTATTTTTTCATGGCATGATAAACTGGAACATAGACAGGCCATCATTGACAATTGCGGAAATATGTAAGTGACAAATGTATCATGATTGTAGACAAATATGACATGTTCAATTTTTAAAAGGACGTTGAAGGGAAGGGTAGGGGATAATTGGACATAATGTTGATTTCAGCAGAAAAAATTTTTTAAAAACATTTTAGATTCAGGAATTTTCTTAAAGGGGCCTCTAGATAAATTTTAAAATGTGAAACATCTATATAAGATATTAATAATACTAACTGTATGGCAATACATAGCAATATAAAAGCTGAATAAACAAAATAACGTATATACCCGTAGAGGATGGACAATTATTTACTAATAAATTATGGTTATAAGATATGATAATATGTGATTTTTCAAATTTAACTATATTTTAAGGTAAAAGATAAACTGTGTTGGCAATTTACAGTTAATTCATTCTTTTGGTTTAATACGGATTTTTTGTCAGCAAATTTGATAATTTCTAGTTTTTCATGTAAACAGGAGAAGCATGGTTCATTTAAAGATTTGCAAGTTCTAGTTCATTTTAGTATTTTCCATTTTACCATCAGACTTTTATTAACTTCTTTTAAGTTCCAAAATATTTAGAAAGGGATGCCCTATTTCTGTACATGTTATTGGTGACACAATTTTTCAGCCAATTAAACAAGAGCGAATTAATGTTGTTACTTTTGATTTTTATTGTTAAATTTTGCCATTTTCATTGCTGAATGTAAGAAATAGTGTTTATAGATATAGATAGTGTAAACAATTTAGGGTTGTGACTTTTCGTAACCTTATGCTCCTGTGTCAAAACTTAATAACTTTTCTTCAAAAGTAATGAAAAAAGCATTAATTTGTTATAGTTCCTGAAAAAAGATTACCCCCAAACCAAAAATTCAATTTTACCATATACACAAAAATCAAAATATTCCAGAAGCTTTATTTTTCAATTTGCTAATGATGTAATTTGATAGCACTTATGCATTTTTAAATGTATTTAACAGTTTATATCTATAGCATAATGTACAAACTTGCAAATAAAAAAAAAACAAGTCCTAGAAGACTCCAGGAAACCATAGTACTACTATTTTTATCTACTGTTGTATAAATTTTGTTTTGTGGGTGACATTTTAAAAAGTAAACTGAATTAAAGCCTTCTTCATTATTTTTTAACAAAAGTTCATTGAATTGTGATACAGGAAATCATTTACTTCACAAAATGTCTAAAAGTCATAACCCTAGTGAACATAGAAATCAACAATCAATGCTCTGTATTTACAAGAGTCAGATCAGACCAGAGGAGATCCTTGCTGACTCTAAAAGCAATTGTGCAGCCTTCTAGGTGATGTACTAATTTCTCCGATGCAACAATAATCTACTACATTTACAATGGCAAACATTTTAATGAGTTAGATTTCTTTATACCCCCAGCTCAGAACTTCATAGCTAGAACCTCCCATGTCATGTTCACAGCATCAAATCATTCCAATTCCTTTTATGTTCCTTTCTACTCAGACAGCTTCTTCTCCAGAGCTGTTACTTTTGGAAACAGGCTCCCAAGAGGATGCTTCCCTAACTACTACAACACTAAACTCTTCAAGACTTGAGTCAACTGATATTTATCCTATATATGTTTATAAAATGCGCTTCCTGGTTCCCTCTCCTTTGCAACAATGTCATTCAGTACCTTTCTCCCTTAAGTGGCTCTAAGGCCTTATATCAGGTGAAAAAAAGAAAATGTAAAGAAGCCTCATATTTATATAGATTTTAATTGTAGTTCTATGTCAGATCCCTACATTCCCTTGTTATAGAATGAAAGTCATTATAATGATAATTTTGGTAATAATAATGCTAATGTTAGCTATTTCTTTATAATGAAACATTTGGCATTCATTGACTGAGCAGCCATTTTCGAATTTGTAAAATCTTTCTATTAAAATAATTTTTCAGGAAATAGATTTTTCAAGTCCAGTGACTGTTATTACTCTTTCCACTAGTGATGGGTGTTTCCTTCCTCACCTTTTGCATGAAATAGTGTGGAATGTCAACATGTTCATTATATAATTATTTTGTCTTTGAGTTACATGTGATATCAATTTTAGTTGTTGCTGTTGGTAGTCTTCAAGTGATGTAGCTTCTGTTATTTGGTATAGTTCTTCATTTGTAATTCTGTAGTGCCAGTCCATGAGATTTAAAGAAAGATGGTTCTCACATGCTTCACTCACTCAAAATCTGACTGTTCAAATATTTCTGAGTGAGCTTAGTGCCAGGTATGACATTTTGAAGTCTTGATTTGATAAGTTTTCAGGCTAATGTTTTTGTTTCGTAGTAATTTGTGGTATTGTGTGAAATTACCCCTAGTGCAGCCTATTCTACATTCAATTTCCTTATTTCTTATAGCAGGGGTGGCAAACTTGCTTAATGTAAATGTGACATAAAAATAGAGGTCTTCTGGTGCATATAAGAAAAGTTATAGTGTCAAAAGAAGGTAAATATCAAATTAGCAGAAGAAAGACACTGAGGACATTTTAAACATTTTCCTGAGAACAGTTTCCTTACATTTTGCAGATTTAAATTGTTTTAATATTTGGGAAAAATATTCAGATATTCAGGTTTTATGTCTGTCTACAACTTCCAATCCTTTGTAGCTCATATCAATGTTTGTCACCTTACTAAAACTACCAAGGCTTATGACCATATCATGTTGAAACATCAGTTCCCATACGATCACCAAAGTTAAGCAATGTTGAGCCTGATCAGTACCTAAATGGGGGACCACTTGTGAATACCAGTTGCCTTAAGCTTGAATGTGCAGGTGGTATAATGGATAATGGAGAGCAGAGTTCTAATTTCATTGGGTTCTTTATATTCATTTACATGCAAATATCCTTGGGAATGGTATGAATTCAACTCTTTTTCTCTCAACTATGGGTTAAGTAGTATGATTTGTGTCTCTAAACTATTATAATCTCAAAAAACATTCTTACAATTTAAAAATTATTTTCTGCAAAGGGTTCAGAAACTGTATAAAATCAATTAATAAAAAACATTTATGAGTTTTCAGACTCCTAAATGATTTTCAGCTTAGTTATGTAATTGTATTAATGCTATTTGTTTAAAGAGGAAAATTTGAACAAACTTTACATAATTCTAATTAAAATTAGGACTAGAAATTCTGGTCTGCAGTGAAGAAACAAAATTCTCAAAAAAAATGCATGCATTTAACCAATTTAGTTTTCTTAGGAATTTTCAATGTGAAAAGTGGATTCAACACTACAAAAATTTAGGAATAAAGATCTTGATCATGTTCTTCTGGTGAATATAAAGAAAGTTATAATGTCAAAAGACGGTAATTATCAGTTTAATGGAAGAAAGTAATTGAGTAAATTTTAAATGTTTTTCTGAAAACAATTTTCTTACATTATGCAGGCTTAAATTGTTTTAATATTTGCAAACTTACACAAAAGAGGAGAAAAAATTGCCTTGAATATATTTTCCTCGTATTATTTGAATTTGAAAGGTTTAAAGACAAAAAAAGGCAGGCAAAATATGTCAAAAAATTTTGTATTTATTTGATTGAATTTTGTGTTGTCAGGCTCCAAAATACACTTCATATACCAGGGATGGACAAACTTGTTTAATGCAAGAGCCAAATATGATAAAGTTCAGATGTTTGAGAGCTGCAAGACATGAACAAAATTTACACATACGTTTTTGTTACATATGCATTAACATTAAACTTACGTTTTAATCCAATGGGATCTCAATGCAAACCCAGTAAAAAATTGCAAAGATTGAAATTTTTTATTATTTACCTTTTCTATTAACTGTAATGAAAAAAGAAGCTCAGCCAACATATTTCTTCAAGCCGAATATTAAAGGTCAAAGAACTGCATGTGGTTCATAAGCCGTGGTTACCCACCCCTGTCCTATATCATGAAGTATTATCAGTGTTTTGAAACTTGCATCTAATGTAGTTATAAAACCCATACCATAAATTTTCATGGAAAGCAATGCAATTTTAGTTTATTATAAAGATACATTTGCTTGGAAATTTCTTTGTAGTAGAACAGTATGAACAAAGTTATACACTCACATTCCTTTTTTGTAGTCAATACATAAAATAAGCCATTCACTTTGTCTGTTTTAAACAAATCTTCAATTAATTTAATGTTTAGCATGTTTTATTGCTATCATATAAACTGCTTTGTGATTACTGAAATGAAATAATTTTATTGTAAAAATTATTGTCATATTCGCTATTAAATTTTGGAAGTTTTATACTGTGGGGTTTTAGATAGAACTTTTACCTAATGAGCAGATAAGGTGAGGTGAGTTAATCCCCTTGAAACAGTAAAAGGACAAATGAGATGAATTGGATACCTTGAAGGTATAGTTACAGTTGTTGTTGCGACCAGCATCTTGACTCACACCATGAGGAACAAAGATATATACTGGTAGTTGATGACCTCATTTCGCCTGAACTCAAAGGTAGTAAACTTACCAAGTGTAAACCTCATCTACTCTAAGTACCATTTTTATATTTATGGCATGTTGTATTTTTGCTTTACATTGTTGTAAAAAATGGTAAAAATTATTTTAGCACCTTTTATTTTTCCTTCTTAGTATCTCATATTTTTCTGGTCTGCAGTGAAGAAACAAAATTCTCAAAAAATGCAAGCATTTAATCAATTTAGACTTCTTTCTTGGGAATTTTTAATGTGAAAAGTGGATTCTTTGAGCCATTATAAAATAATAACCCCCAATGATGCTAACATTACTCTAAAGAAGATTTATTTATTTTTAGAGGAATCTTTTCTGTTTTTTTTAAATTTTTGGGCAAAAAAAAACCTTTGAATTTTATTATGTACAAGATACTTTACAGCCATATAAGTTCTTATCAAAGTTTTTAAAAACATAACATAGACCTTTATTCTGAGGATAAATTGTATAAAAAATAAACTAGTCATATTTTAAATATTTTTATTCAAAAAAGTTAAATCTGATACTATAAAAATCTGTATATATTGTTCTAAACCCAAAACATTAAAATAAGAAAATACTGTAAATAAAAAAGTTTTAGTATAATTTAGTTCTGTTTCTCTTCTGCATAATCAATCAAACTTAATTTGAATTTAGTTGTGTATGACAGTCTTTTTTCTTTCAATATTATAAGGATTGAAAAAAAAGAAAGATAAATGAAGAAATAAAAACTATTTTTGCTTCCAACGGTACTTAATCCAGTCTTTAGTATGTCATGTGAGTGTCATATTTTTCAAGCTCTCTTTCCTTGTTATGTGTACCAGAAATGTGTGCTTCTCCTTAAGCTAATTTCATGTTTTGACTAAGACCAAGAACAAATAGTAGATTGTTTTTGTTTATATGCAGTTTTTTCATCTTAATGTAAGTGGAAATTTACTTTAAAATTATTCATAATTTTAAAAGAAATAATACTTAGAACTTTTTCGGTATTTAAAGTATTCTTAATAAAGAAATGTTTAATTAGATTTGTTATTAATGTTTTTGCTTTTACTTTTAGGCTCCCCCCCCCCCTACATCACACCACCAAATAAAACAAAAAAAAATTACATAGAATCCAAAATAAAAAGTTAAAAATTCTGGGAAACACAATGAAGAAAAAAGGCTTGTGGAATTTGACACTCACAGAGCATATTAAAGGCAAAAAATGCTGAGGGAAACAGGAAGTAACCAACTTTTGTAAATGAATGGCAAAACAAGAATTCGGAAGGTTATTGATTCATTCATTTTTTATGGATTATTAATCATTTGCAGGTTATTTAAAGCCAGAAAATATTTTTAAATTATAAAAAATTTTTGATTTAATAATGGTTTAATTATACAAGTATTGCTATTTAACCCATAGCTGGAGGGAGAAGAGGTGGATTCATATCTTTCCCAAGTGTATTTTGATGTAAGTGAATATAACAAGTTCACCTGGAATTGGAACTCTGAATCACTATCCATTAGACCACCCACACATCCAAGATTACAGCACCTGGTATTCCCAAGTGGTTACTCATTACTGTCCAGACTTGACATTAGTTGATTATCTTACAGGAACTGGTGGCCATAAACCTTAGTAGTGTTAGTAAGGGGACAAACATTTTATGAGCTACAAAAACAGGAAGTGGTGGAAAGCCATGAAAAGCAATGTCTTTGAAAGGACATGGTACATAAAAGAAGAATTTAAAAATATATACATCTTTCTAGGAATTTATGTAATAAATTCCTCTAATAGGCATGATTATTTGAAGCAATAGTTCCCAAACTTTTTTTTTCTAGGCTGCATTTTTTAAATGAAAATTTGCTCACACCTCACCAAACTTTATATGATAAAAAGTACATTTAAAAATAAAAAAAAATCATAGAGGGGTTAAAGTGAGATAACTGCAGATTCAAAGTCAGAACATTATCATTGATAACTTTCTCCTCCAATTTGCAGACCCTTGTTATTATATTCTTAATACTTGATATAATGCAAAAATATCACAATGATAAAATTGGTCAATAATTATTTACAACTATTTATATAGGAACTCATATGTCCAATTACAAGTAATCCATAATAATATTTTAAATTTTTAAATCATATTTGTTTTTGGCATATGAATTTTTTGAAACTATTTCTGAAGCTTTGATTGATTTCAATCATTCCGCTTTACCTCCTATCCTCTTCCGCCACATATATGAGGCATGGCGCACTGTCTGGGAACAACTGATTTAAAGAGTCTATTTGCAATGTAGTATCATTTAAGTATAAGCCGTGACAGAAAATCTTTGAAAACTAAACTCTGGTTTTTAGCTCAAAGGCAAAGATAATAAATGGAAATCTAGTTTCTTTTCAATTTGTAACTTGCATTCCCTTTCATTCTTGGTTAATAGACAGAATTAAAATTGGTTAGTGCTAAGTGGAGACAGTGTGGCAGAGAAAATAAAGTGGCAGCACTGAAATGGATTCCTGATTTTCAGCCACCACTCATGTTGTGACTATAGTTGGTAAACATCTCCGAGGCTCTCATGGAGAGAATTTAATAATAAAGACAAGAAAATGAAAAGAGTTTGCTAGTCAATCACTTTGAAAATTTAATCAAGTTGATCAAATAAATTCAGTGAATGGTGCAGTTTTGCTTTTAGTGTGTATAACGAAAGACATGACTTACCTCGGAATTCAAAACGAGTGCGAATGTGTCTTGCCTGCAAATTGATGATAAAAAAGAAATATGGTCACTATTGAAGATACAATTTCATCCAAGACGAGATGATATTTGCACACATCCAAATTTTGGCTGTTGTTGAATAGCATAAAAAGCTGGGTGCCAGCAGCACAAGGCAGAAAAAGTTATCCAGCAGACTGCGTGTGTTAGAGTTGGACATATGGATTGACGGACAAAGAGGAAGTTAAAGTAGACATGGCTGAGTTAGTGTCTGTTTCACAACTGCTCAGTGTGATGGCCGAAAAAGAGAGCTACACAATCCATTTCCTTGAGGTGACCGAAGAAGAAGAAAAAGAGCTGGCCTGTCAGCAAGCGTCACACTGCACTTTTTGACCTCCCCTCATCATCATTTTTTTTTCTACAAACTATTTCAGCAGTTATGGCAAAGGTTCACATAAGCAGCGATGTTATAAAACCATTTTCCGGCCAGGGCAATGTGGTGGCATGGTTAAAAAAGGTTAGGTTGGTCGCAAGACTTCAGCAGGTGGATGATGTGGTTAGCCTGCTGCCATTGTACCTGGAGGGGGACACATTAGCCCTCTACATGGAAAAGGAAGAGAA